ATCAGCTGCAGCACTGGGAGGAGTGGGTGGGAGAGCGCCAGCCGGCAAGGGCAGCTCCCAAGGGCAGGACACTGAGCCATGCATAAGGACACGTTCCTGTCCCCAGCACCCTTCTGACCCGCTCCTTACTGGAGGATAATGGGGCAGAACAGTCTGCAGCACTGGGCACTTCCCCAGCTACTGAATGGCTAGGGGGGGGTGTGTAGGAGGGGTCTTTAAAGCTCAGAACCTGGAGATTTTTGCAGGGAGAATTCTCTGTTCAGCTTTGACAGGGAAAATCTCAAACCACCGTAACAGGGTGCCCGTCCCCTCCGTCCCGTGGTGCTGAGCCCCACGCACAGCCCGGCCCCGCTGAGCAGGGAGTGCGAGACTGCAGGGTCTGGGGTCACACAGGGCTCCCGGTGGGTGCTCGGGAGCCGGTGCCTTGGCTTTAAAGGATTCCCCCCTCCCTCGGAGGGGCTCGCTGCCCTCCACAAGCCCCGGGGTCTGTGGGACCGAGCCCCCGCTGCCGGCCGCGTCCCCGCCGCCTTCTCCTCCGGTTTTGCTCTGCCGGCAGCAAACAGCCCGCCTGGGATGCGGTGCCGGGAGCTGAAACGCCGCTTGGCACTGCAGAGCGTGTCCCGCCGCCGCCACCGGGACAAGCCGCCCCGGCATGGCCGCCCCAGCGCTCCCCGTTACCTGGCTCATGCCGTTTCCCATGGCCGGCAGCGGGCGCCGAGGGGGGAACGGGGCGCGGGTGTCCTTGTCCCCAATGCTGCCGTCCTCCCCGGCCCCAGGCGCGGCTGCCGGCCCCGCTCCGGATGCTCTCCGGTCGGGTTTCCGTCATGAAGAGCTCGGCTCCCGCGGCGAGGCCGAGCCGGTGGCGGCTGTGCCGGGGCAGAGCGGACCTTGGCCGCTGTCCTGGGCGGCTCCTGCCAAGGCCCTTCCCTGGATGCTCCGGTGCGGCTCTGGCCGGGAGCAGACAAAGGAGGAGAAGCTCCCCCTCTGCGCCGTGGCGTGGGAGCACGGGGCCCGCGCTGCCTGCTGCCTGCCGCCGCTGCCCGCCGCGGCCGCACAAGGCTGCAGTGTTGGGAGAAGAACAAAACCTTTGTCCCGCTCCATCAAGGAAGGTCTGTGTGACCGCGCGGGGAAGCAGCGCGGCCACCCCTCCTGCGCCATGCCCACCCTGCCCTCGCGGTGCCCACCCTGCCCTGGCAGTGCCCACCCTGCCCTGGCAGTGCCCACCCTGTCCTCGCAATGCCCACCCTGCCCTCGCAGTGCCCACCCTGTCCTCGCAGTGCCCACCCTGCCCTGGCAATGCCCATCCTGCCCTGGCAATGCCCACCCTGTCCTCGCAATGCCCACCCTGCCCTCGCAATGCCCACCCCTCCTGCGCCATGCCCACCCTGCCCTCGCAGTGCCCACCCTGCCCTCGTAATGCCCACCCTGTCCTCGCAGTGCCCACCCTGCCCTGGCAATGCCCACCCTGCCCTCGCAATGCCCACCCTGTCCTCGCAGTGTCCACCCTGCCCTACATGCCCACCCTTCCCACGCAATGCCCACCCTGCCCTCGCAGTGCCCACCTTGTCCTCGCAATGCCCACCCTGCCCTCGCAATGCCCACCCTGCCCTCCATGCCCACCCTGCCCTCGCAGTGCCCATCCTGCCCTCGCAGTGCCCACCCTGCCCTGGCAATGCCCACCCTGCCCTCGCAGTGCCCATCCTGCCCTCGCAGTGCCCACCCTGCCCTCCATGCCCACCCTGTCCTCCATGCCCACCCTGCCCTGGCAATACCCACCCTGCCCTCCATGCCCATCCTGCCCTGGCAATACCCACCCTGTCCTCGCAGTGCCCATCCTGCCCTGGCAATGCCCACCCTGTCCTCGCAACGCCCATCCTGCCCTCGCAGTGCCCATCCTGCCCTGGCAATGCCCACCCTGCCCTCCATGCCCACCCTGCCCTCGCAGTGCCCATCCTGCCCTGGCAATGCCCACCCTGCCCTCCATGCCCATCCTGCCCTGGCAATGCCCATCCTGCCCTGGCAATACCCACCCTGCCCTCCATGCCCACCCTGTGCCATGCCCACCGTGTGCGAGCCCCCGGCCCTGCACACCTCAGGGCAGGCAGCGGGGTCCCACCGCGGGAGGGGGGGGTCCTGCAGGGGTCTCTGGGACTGAGGGAATGCGGATCCCAGCCCCTGCCTGGCAGCGGGACCGCAGCAGAGCAGAGCGGGGGGCTTGGGACCCCCGTCCTTGCCCGGGCAGGGTCCCCGCTGCCTGCAGCCCCGTCCGTGCCCCCCTGCGCTGTGCGGGTGCCCGCGGGGGCACAGGAGGGGAGGCACCCGGGGCGGGATGAGCGGGACGTGGGACCCGGGTGGTGCGGGGGGGGTTGGAGCCCACGGGGCGGCACCGGGGGCCGGGGGGAGCCGAGCGGACCCGGGACGAGCCCCGGGGCGGGGGGGACCCCACCGGGTTTCCGGTCCCACGAGCGCCCCCTGCTGCGCAGGTTGCCATGGTGATGGTTGCGGCCTGGACGGCGCAGGCGCGGCCTTAAAGCGAGCCCTAGAGCCGGGCCTGAGGGGGCGGCACCGGGGGTCAGAGCCGGACCCACGGGGCTCACGTCCCCGGTTCAACCTCAGTGCAGGTGGGGGCGAGCGCAGCACCAGCAGAGCCTCCCGCTCCAGGCCGTGCGCTGTGTCCTGCCTGCCCAGCACATGGGGTTCGCGTTGGAGCCCGCTGGGGATGCGGTACCGGAGCCCGCTGGGGATGCGGCACTGGAGCCCCCTGGGGATGCGGCACCGGAGCCCGCTGGGGATGCGGTACCGGAGCCCCCTGGGGATGCGGTACTGGAGCCCGCTGGGGATGCGGTACTGGAGCCCGCTGGGGATGCGACCCTGGACCCTGCTGGGGATGCGACCCTGGACCCTGCTGGGGATGCGGTACTGGACCCTGCTGGGGATGCGGTACTGGACCCTGCTGGGGATGCGGTACTGGACCCTGCTGGGGATGCGGTACTGGACCCTGCTGGGGATGCTGCACTGGATGCAGGGCCTCTGGAGCAGCTCCTCTCTGGGCAGTCTCCTTTGTGTCTGCAGGCAGCAGGGAAAGCTCTTGCTGCCCTGTGCCCTCCAGGTCGCTGTTTCCGTAGCAGGGCTGTGTTCCTGCTCTGAGCCTTGGCACGAATGGAGCTGAGGGTGGTTTGTGGTGCTGGGCTGTAAGCTGTAGTGGTTCTGCTGGGGGCTAAACCTGCTCCAGAGTCAGCTTGGGCAGCAATCAGTGCTGCCTGCCCTGGCGAGGAGGGTGCTGGCTGCATGGAAGCCTATGGAGCAGCATGGGTTGTAAGACCTGGCCTGTTCTCACTCCCCATGGCCATGTAGAGATAAGGAAACTCAACACGGAGCCTTTTGCCACGCACAGAGCAAGCAGTTCTCCCTGGTGTCCATAGTTATGGATTTCTCCTCAAGAGTCTGCGGTGCACTGGATGCCCAGCAGCTCCTCAAGGGCAGCTCAAGTGAGTCAGCCTGTGGGAGCAGCTCTTGTGCTGAACCTTGTATTTCTCTTTCCACCCAGCTGAGTCAGAGGAGCTGCTGAGGGAAGGCTGCGAAGAGCTTTCGGAAGCAGTTAGAAGCAGGAAAGCCTGAGGCAACAAGATGTGCCTTTGTTCTGCAGGCTTTCAAAATGCCTTCCGAGAGCCCTGGTTCTGGCAGGATTTTGCAAGAGCCCTGGCATCACTTGCATGACGAAGCCGGTAAGTGTGTGCTCTCCCAAGGAAAGTGAGACCCAGATGAATGAGGCCTTCATTCTGTGGAGGGAGAGGAAAGCATGCGGGAAATCCACAGGAAGAGCTGGGCAGAGCGAGGTGTTTCCTCATCAACACGTACCACCAAAGCACGTCTTGTGCAGCGGTTTGTGCCCTCACTTGAAACGCAGCTTGGTTTATTGTGGAGCCCACGTGAACTCAGTGGTGAAGGTGTGGAGGAGCAGTGCTCAGGGGGCTCTCACTGTGGGGCTATGGGCAAGCTCATGCTCTGAGTTCCTTAGGTTTGGCTGCAGGTGTGCAGAAGGTGGGTGGGTTTTGCAGGGCCGCTGCCTCCTTGGCTTCTTGTTAAGCAGCATTCCGGGGCAGCCCCTAACGCTGGAGCTGTGACATCTGCTTGGCTTCAGGGAAACCCCACTCATGAGATGCCAGCTGGGGTAAGTGGACTTCATCCTGACATGAAGAGGTGCTGGGAGACTCCATGAGCAGCCAAAAGTGCACTTTGGGGTGGCTTTAGTTGGCTTTAGCTTCTCTCCGCTCTGCAGGCGGAGACCTGAAGGGTAGCCTCATGCTCCAAATGACATTCATCCCCTCAGACCTGGAGCCGTGCTGACTGCAGCAACTTCCACATCAGGCAGCATCCTGGGGACCGAGGCAATAGTGTGATTCCTTTAGAAATTACAATTCCTGATGCTGAGAAGCTCCTTGCTTCTCCCAGATGGCTGAAGCCATTTAACACGGTGGGTATCATGCAGTGGTGCAGAATTGAACGCAGCCCATCTGTGAGACCTGCGGGAGAGGGGTCACTTCACAGGTGGGGTGAAGAGGCTTCACCTCAGAGTCAGGCTTGTGGGTAAGGGAATGCTTGTGAGCAGTGAATGGGAGGTAATTATGCAAAGTAAGATGTGAATTACAGCCAGGAGGACGGCAGGCAGTGATTATCTAACTGCAAATAGGAACGTGTTAATTGGCAATGGAAAACCTTACATTAAGCTGATTTTCTGCCCACAACCTCAATTAACGTGGTAAATAACCAGAACACAGTAAACAAGGGTATGTGAGAAGCCTGGGGTGACTGAAATGCTCCCAACTTAAAGGAGCTCCTTTGTGGCTGACCTCAAAACTCGGAGTCAAAATAAGCTCCGTGTTACTGCTCCTGGGGGCCTGTGCTGTTGGGATGTGTCTGGGTGCTGCTCCCACACGTGGACGAGGAGCAGCTCAGGGCATGCAGAGCCGCATCCTGGGGCTGCAGGACTTTGAGGGGAGGGAGCCTGTTGTACCTGGGGTACCCGAAGCTGTCTGCAGGGGTTTTCTGCTCGCTCACCGTACTTTTCTGGCACCTTTCGTGACTTTCCTGGTTAATTAAGCTCTGCAACGCACACAGATTGAAAATGTGACTTCACAAAACTCCAACAACATATGTTGTGTTGCTTCTATCGCCGCAAGCATGTGACAGAGTTTATTTGGTGCTTCCCCACGGGCTGCCTGCTCTGCTCTTTCCTCCAGGAACCCTCCCAGCACTGCCAAATCTGAGCTTCTTGCACCGGGGATCCCCCTGCCCCCATAACGTTGAATAAATGTTCTTGTGTACAAACACAAGATGATGCATTGGGCTGCGCATGGAAATTCTGGGAAGCCCTGGGGAAATGCTGATGTTAAAGCTTGTAACTCTGCTCTTCCATCTGCAGGTTGGCAGGTCACAGGGGGGAAGCTTTCCTGTCCTTAAACCTGAAGGATATCATTGACTGAAGGTGAGAAGGACTCTGTTCTCTTTGGGGAATAGCCAACAGGTATTTTGTTCTTTGGCTCGTTTCCTCCTGCTCTGTGCCCATCTTGTGCAATTCCCCAGGGCAACACCAAAGTGTGCTCAAGGTGGGTTTCCCCAAACGGGCATCACTTTATCTGGGATCTGACTTCTTACACTCCGTACATATTCATATATAAACCTCTGATCTTGGGTACAGTTAACACTAGGCAGCAGTATCAGCAGCTGGGGTATATTAGACATTTCTCTGCTTCGTAGGTTGGAATCCTGACTTGAGAGTCTATGTTCTAGTGATGTCTGTAAGTGCAAACCACTGCTACTGTGCCAGAAATGGATTCCCTTGCCTTCACACTCAGCTGCTCCTTTCCTCTTCTCCCAGTACATCCCACTGAAGGCCTGGTGATTCAGTCACTTTGCTCACACAGGCTTTACTCTGAAGAGCAGAGATGATGGCTGTATCCCACCTGTCTGTGCATGCCATGAAGTGGGGTAAGAAAAGGACCTTGTCACTCCCAGCTCCTGCACACACCTTCAGCATTTGGCTCTGCTGTCACTGTCACCTTTTGTTCTCTTTCCATTGGAAAACTGGTGTCACAAGAGTGCTGGAAATGTCAGTTTGACAGATCAGTTAGGACCAAAGCTGAAATATCACTCCTTTTATTGCTAGTGGTTGAATTTTGGCAGCCTTTCTTCTTCCTCAGCCTCGCAGACTGTGAGAACAGAGTGATTCATGGAAGGGAGTGATTTGATTTCCTACATGTCCCCCTTGCTGCTGTCCTGAGTTTGATAGCTTTCATTTGATTCACACGTCTTCCCAAAGGAATCCCACCTCCAACTGATGGCTTAGGAGACAGGAAAATCCATCACTTCTGCCTGGGAGAGTTCAGCAGAGTTCATGCTTGCTCTGAGTGATTAAAAGCCATTGGGAGTGGGGTACAGGAGGCTGCCTTGGGTGAAGGGGTGCTGAGGTTTGGAGGCACAGTGACATGAAGAGTTTCAGGCCAGCCATGAGGTATTGTACTAGCTCCGAGCAGTCACTCATTCATTTTCTGCACACCCCACCCTTGATGGCCTCTGATTCTTATTATTCCCTGCGGTTTTTAGTGAGACCATCATGTGGTGCTCGGTTTAAGCTCAGGTGGCTGAAGCCTGTGATTAGACAGGGAAGATAATTAACTGGCACTGGGGCAGGACTATTTAGAGTGAGAATTAGGTATTTGCTTGTTCAGTGTCTCTTTGATCCTTATCTTTACTTCATTCAGATTACATCTCTCAAATCACAGACTCCCAGAGCGGTTTGGGTTGGAAGGGACCTTAAAGCTCCTCCAGTCCCAACCCCTGCCACAGGCAGGGACCCCTTCCACTGGAGCAGCTTGCTCCAAGCCCCTGTGTCCAACCTGGCCTTGAACACTGCCAGGGGTGAAATGTGGCAAGGCAGAAGCCTGCACCCAGTTGCACTCCTGGGGAGTGGGGTACACACTGCCTGCTGGGGCTCTGCTGTGAACATGAATGAGCTGAACTCCTCCTGGCAGCCACTTAACTGCTGCCTTGTCTCCTGATGGCTATAAATGTGATTTCATTGATAGCAGCTTTAGGGGAGAGCCTTAATGTTTGCTTTGCAGCTCTGTGCATCTCTAAGGTTGATCTTTTTTACTTTAAACCTAACAACTTTCTGGTTAGTGCTCTCTTAAAATGCATCTCGGCTTAGCCCTTCACTTCCAAGTGCTCAGCAGTACAGCAGGGCTGGCTCTGCTGCACACTACTGTCACTGTTGAGCCTCAGGAGGTGGCAGCTGAGGGAAAGAGAGGAGGAAGAAAAACAACTAAATGGGATGTCAGATTCCTCATGAGTCTGAGATGGGGTCAATGCTAATGGAGGATGGTGTTGAGCTTCCTGTTTTATGGGCTGCTCACTTCCATAAATCCCTTGTCTGTGGGGAAAGGAGGGTCTTTGCAGTACCCTGAGAGAAGAGATGTTGATTGCTGCTGGGGGAAAGTCTGATGGGGACCTGGGGACCCTTTTTTTCCTGTAGCTATTCAGTAGTCAGGCCTGAAGGGTTTAACTGCACTGGGGGTTGGTGGCTTCTACCTTCTGCTCTCTGCCTTTTTACTAAGGCTTCTTGCTGGGCTGTGGGACTGGACGGTGGTGAGTGGGAAATGATCAGCAGGGCTAAACGTGTGGTCATCTGTTGGGAATGGCTTTTTGTAACACAAACAGCATTTCGGTGCCTCGGGGCTGAGAGGGAAAACACACCTCAGTAAAAAGTTCAGCTGGAACTCTCAGAGTCACCCACTGCACACACAGCCCAAGCGCTGCAACAGCAGGATCCCGAGCGCCCAGCTGCCTTGTCATTGCAGGAGCCGAGAGCAGCAAACAGCAAATGGCATTCCAGAAATGACAAGCAAATCAGCATTATTCTTTCAGCCTTAATTGTGGGAGCGCAGAGCAGTTCCGCAGGTGGGGAAACTCCCCTTCCATGTGATTGATGCTGACAGTGCTCTCCTGTGAAATGCCTTCCCTGATTTGTCTCTTTTCAACTCCCCCCTCTAAGAGGACGTGGCAGCAGGTACCTGTTACAGCCCCGTGTCCTGGCAGCTTCAGCCCCGGATTTAATGCGGTGCCCCTGGGGACAGCTTGATTTCAAATGAGCAAACGCAGCTCAGCTGTGGGCCTATAGCTCTAATGTGCACAATCTGCTCTGTTCATAGCCCCAGACCAGATTGCCCCTCAGGCAGCCTGCACATAAAGAGCTGGAGTAACTTCCGTGGCTCAGGAGGCAGAATGCAGGTCCTGGAGGTGGGCACGGTGCTGGGTAGTGCTGCTGGGCTCCTGCAGGAGAGCATTTGAACGCTGTGTTGTGCTGGGAAGCTGTTCCCAGGAGACATCCACATTCTACTGCTAAAAAAAGGGCTAGTGCTCCTGCTGTGAATACTCAGCATTTACTGCTTCAGCTAGACTTGGGGTTTCACTTGTCTGTCTGGAAGCTAGAGGGACTTTTTTTCTCTAGTACCATCAAGAACAGGAATAGAAACTTTGCAATAAGCTCAGAATGTTCTTTGGCTCAGTGCATGGGAAAGAGATTTAGGGTTGGATTTCCTATTGCTTCACACTTACTCCTGCCTGCTAGCAGGGTGACAGTTCTGTGCACAGGCGTTTCTCTTGCATGAACTATTGGCTGTTTCTCCCTAATTTACTGCTGTATCTTCTCAGCTTATTTCTGGAGGTAAATGCTTCCCCTTCCCTCACTACCAGCAGCCAGGAAGACTCTGAACTCGGGGACATCTCAAAGACACTCTGCATACTGTGGACAGGGAGAGGAGGCAGGCAGAGATGTTTATTACCTTCTTAGGGGGGTTAAGATGTTTGGAATGGATGGTCTGGTTCCAACTCTGCCTTGGCAACTGCTCATAATACTCTATAGTGATTAAATGATGGATTTCCAGAAGCAGAGCAAAGCAAGCAAGTGGCCATTGCAGAGTGGGGAAATGGAGCAGCGTGGGGCTGCAAAGGGAGCGGAGTCTGTGTCAGAGCCGGGCTTTGCACAAGAGCTCTCTTTCAGAGGCCCTCCTGCATTGTGCCTCCCACACTTGCTGCTTCTGGAGCACTCTGTTCCAAGCAGCTTGTCTTGCAGCATCTTGTGATTGACTTCACAACGTGCTAACCCCGGGTATTAATAGCAGGGAGATGTCTGGTGCTTTCAGCTGTTCAGCTTTGTCTCCCATTGCTGGGGGTTCACTCCTGTGTGCAGACAGGTAGTGGTCATTGCTCAGGTACTTCAGTACCTGTGCTTGATGTTGTAGGCTAATGGGTAAGGAAAAGCACATTGAGGGCTTTGACCTGATACAGGACAACGGTGGAGGGGGAGGCCTGGGTACTCTGATGAACCAGAGCATCACCACAGACACATTTAGTTGTGTGTCCATCCCGTGCTGGCAGGATGCCCTGCTCGCATCCTGCACATCAGCAAGAGAAGAACAAGAGGGAGCTATGAGCTCTTATGAGATTGAGACCCAAAGGAGCAAATGCTCCCCAAAAGTGGGTGTGAGCAACCAAAGTGCAGCAGCACTGTTGGAGACCTGTAAATGTAGCAGGAACAGTTTTGTTCCTTGTGCTGCTTTTCAAGTGTTAAATCACAGCAGTGTCCTTCATGCACCAGCAAAACCCCCTCTGCAGTCACTGGTGGCCTTTCACTGGGCACTTCCCTGAAGCTGGTTGTGTAGTTCACTCTTGGGAGGTAGTACTTGGATTATGAAGTCACACTTCCAAGAGGCTGACGTGTATTGTAACTCTAATTTGCAGTACACGGCTCAGTGTGCCTACAGCTGTCTCTAGGTGTAGTTTCTAACTAACAACACACAAGTGCAGCTGCACCTGAAAGCAGCTCCCTCGCCTCTGCAGAAAGGAAGAGTAAGGTGGTGGGTAACTCCTGTTAATGTTTTCACTGCAGGCTGCTACCATGAACGACTGCACAGCAGCAAGTGTAACACTGATCCTGAGCTTGGGATGGGACACATCACCGTGGCTGAAGTTCACTTCCTCACATTGAGCAGCAGCAGTTCCCACTTCTCTCTGGACGCTGACAGCTCAGCACTAGGCTCTGGCCTTCTTCCTTCTGAAGCTGTGAAGGGCTTGGATGAGCTATTTGGTAATAGCTGACCCAGGACCCAAGCCTTGCTGGCTTCCCGACTGTCCAGCCCCACTTGCAGAGCTCAGTTCTGTACCAGGTAAGAAAATGAAGGGGCTAACCACGTTCTGCATGGCAAACCAAAGCGTTTAGGGAAGGCAGGCACCTGATCCTCCCACTGCTACTACTATGGAAACATGTCAGAGAAGAGAACCTGTTGCCATGATACTGTAAAAATAACCTGGTGTCAGCCACTGTGGAGACGCTGAGTGGCTGCTCTACATGGGCTGTGTGAGTGGCTCCAACACAGGGACCTGGCACCGTGCATGCAGGGAGGTGGCTCTCTGACAGCTTCAGGTGATAAGTCCATGTGAGTTTTAACCTGTGTACGTGACACTTAAAGCTGAAGTGGGCAGCCTCGGTTTGTGCAGATGTGGGCTTAGCTACGGAGTTCTAAAGCGGATCAAGCAATGGTAGGTGGGTTTAAAGAAATCCCACCTCAGATGTAAGGAGTTGGAAACAGGGTGGGTTTTGGAACTGTAAATCGGAGCATGTATGGAATGGATGAGGCCACCTGGTGAAGGTGCCTCTGAGCTCCAAGGTGCTCAGGCAGCCAGGAAAGATGCCAGTGCTGGGTTTAAAGCCCTGGATGTGTGTGCAGAGGGGAAGCGAGCCCAGGATCAGGCCCAGCTTGGCAGAAGGGGTGAGCTCCCTTGAGAGCTGCAGAGAGCAGGACAATGGCTGTTTGAAGCCTTAAAATTATATCCAGAAACACCTTTACAGCAGTTCAGAAACTTCAGGGCTTGCCCTTGCCCAGACACTTTCCTTACACAGCAAAAAATCAAACCCTCTGTAGCCTGTTACTGATGTTTTCTAAATCCTGTTACGGTCTGGCCCAAGTTGTGCTGGGGTTCAAGCTCAGGCTAAAGGGGGTGGTCTAAAGACAAACTGTAAATCCTTTGAAGAAACTCTTAGTGGTTGAATCAATTGTCTTTGTACTACAAGGCTGGTCCTCCGCTCTCTTCAAGCTTTTTTAAATATACATGTTTTATCCCTCATGTCTTTGGTCTTTGCCTTCCAACTGAACAGCAGAACACATTTTCCCAGTGAGACTAAAAGGATGCTGCCTCCTCCCACCCCGTCTTCAGAGATTCCTGACGTGTTTCAGATGTACAGCTTGGCTTTGTTTTAGTACCACGGGCACACACAACTCCTCCTCCGTGCTGCAGGCGTGCTGTGGATTCCCAATTCCTCCTACTCCTGTTCCCAACATGACAATGAGCCAGCTCTGAAGCCCAGCTCCAGAAGCACTCGCATAAAAACCCAACAAGAAGCACACACACACACACAGAGTCAGCAATGTCCCACTGCTCTCACTTTAATAATCCCACTTCCACCCCAGCCATGGGCTACTGCCCAGTGCTGTGTCCCAGCCCATGCCTGAGAGTGGGAAGGAGCAGGAAAAGGTTTGTGATCCAAGGAAGCTGCAGCCTCGTAGGTGAGAAGCCAACCAGTCCCCAACTCTGGCTACAGGGACCTCACCTGAGGCAGGCTCCAGGCACATGGATCTGCTCCAGCAAACCCCATAGGATGTTGTGGTGTGAGCTGCAGAGGTGACAGCCCGAGTACACACAGTGACAACGGCAAGGCCGCTTCAGCCCTCCAGGATGCGATTGATCAGCTTCATTTCCTCAGCACTCATGGGGTTCAGGTTAAACCCCTTCAGCTCAGGTTTACCTGAGAAGAACACACGGCAAAATCATGACTTTGCAGCACAACCAGTGCAGCAACCCCTGAGGAGCTGCAGGGATGGCAGGGGCAGCCCTGGGAGCTGATGTGGGATTATCCTGGTTGATGGCTCTGCACCAGTGCTGCTGGAGCAGGGAAGGAACTGCACAGCCAGTGGGAAAGTGGCTGCAGGAGCACACAGAGCTCAGGAGTTTCTGGACCCTGCTGGCATGTGGCATCTGATGCTGAGAAGGTTCCAGAACATGAGTGTTACCTTGGGCTTCATAGAGGCGGTTCACCTTCACACGCAGCTCCTTGCGGAGGTTCTTTATCTCCTCATCCAGCTGTTCCTGGTCTGAGACAATCACAGCGTGGTTCGGGTTGGAAGGGACCTTAAAGCTCCTCCAGCTCCAGCCCCTGCCACGGGCAGGGACCCCTTCCACTGGAGCAGCTTGCTCCAAGCCCCTGTGTCCAACCTGGCCTTGAGCACTGCCAGGGATGGGGCAGCCACAGCTTCTCTGGGCACCCTGTGCCAGCGCCTCAGCACCCTCACAGGGAAGAGCTTCTGCCTCAGAGCTCAGCTCAGCCTCCTCGGGCAGGTTCAAGCCATTCCCCTTGTCCAAGGCCCCTCTCTGGGGGGAACAAGTGGGATGGGGGTGAGGAGGGCTCTGGCCTGGAGGGCTCTTTCCCCCCTGCCTGGGGGTGCTGGGGCTGACCCCTGCCCTTGTGCCCACACGTGTGAGCCGGCAGAGCCGGGCAAGAGCCAGGCCCTGCCCCTGTGTGCTGGGGGGGCCCTCGGGAGCACAGGGCGAGGTGACCCCCGTTAACCGTTACCGTACCCTTCCGCAGCATGTCCCGGGTCTGCGCCGCGGGCAGCTCGATGAACATGCTCCCGAAGCACACCATGGCCGTGCCTGCGGGACGCGGACGGGAAAGGCCCTGGTGAGCGCGGCCGCTCCCGGGCCGGGGCTCCGGGCGGCACCGGGGAGCGCGGCCTCCCTCACCCTCGGGCTCCGGGCTCTTGTGCAGCGCCCGCAGGGCCTCGCGGTTCCGGTTCCGCTTCACGTCCAGATCCACGATCTGTAACGGGAGGGATGCAGCCGCGGCCACCGGCAACGGCGGAGCCCGCACCGGGCCGGGCCGGGCCGGGCCGTACCTGCTGCCGCGCCGCCAGCACGTCCTCGGCCAGCTCCTCCACCTCGGCCAGGTACCGCAGCACGAAGGCCGGGTCCCGCGCCATGGCCGCCGGCTCCGTTACCGCGCGGATCCGGGCACGGGCCGTGTCCGCTCCCGCCCCGTTCCCCCCCGCAGCCGCAGCCGCAGCGCCGGGTTCCGCGGCGGAAGGGTCCGCGTCGCAGCGCGCCCCCTGGCGCTCACCCCCGGAGCGCTCCGCGGCCCCGAGCCGAGGGGTTGGGGACCCGCGGGACAGCGGGGACCCGGGGCACGGCCCCCGGCTCTGCCGGCTCACACGTGTGGGCATAAGGGCAGGGGTCAGCCCCAGCGCCCCCAGGCAGGGGGGAAAGAGCCCTCCAGGCCAGAGCCCTCCTCACCCAAATCCCATTTGTCCCCCCCGGAGAGGGGCTTTGGACAAGGGGAACGGCTTGAACCTGCCCGAGGAGGCTGAGATGTGCTCTCAGGCAGAAGCTCTTCCCTGTGAGGGTGCTGAGGCGCTGGCACAGGGTGCCCAGAGAAGCTGTGGCTGCCCCATCCCTGGCAGTGTTCAAGGCCAGGTTGGACACAGAGGCTTGGAGCAAGCTGCTCCAGTGGAAGGGGTCCCTGCCCGTGGCAGGACTTTGAGCTGGTGGAGCTTTAAGGTCCCTTCCAACCCAACCCGTTCCATGATTTATACCATGTCAGAGCCCGTCCCCGCTCCCCACCAGCGCTGCACTTCTGGCTCTTCCTCGCCTCTTCCCAGCATGGCGCCGGTGCCGGGCAGCTGTGCTCTTAGAGCCCGGAGTGGCCTTTGCATCCCCTTCTTCTCCCCAGGAGGCAATAAACAGCGCTAAAAGCACGGGGCGATGAGCTCAGATTGCCTTTGGTGCAGCTGAGCGGCTGCTCCGGGGCTCGGCGGTGAGGGCTGCGTCCCCAGGGAGGGACACGGCTGCGGCCCCGGCTGCATCAGGCTCCTGCCCTGACAGACCCTGCCCGCGGCAAGGGGAAGCACCGCACCTCGGAACGGCCTCTGTTCCCTTCCTCCCAGCCCGTGAGCAGCAGGAGATGGAGAAATGGGGGCTCAGTAGCCCCAGCCCCGATGGCAGGGACTGGCGGGAGGGGAGGACCCAGGAGCCGTGTTTAATATCCCATGGCCCAAAGCAGCTCCACCCGGGAATGCTGTTGTGAGACAGCCCTGGAGAGCTGCTTCGCCTCACTGGGCCCCCAGAGCCCTGAGGCCAGGGTGGAGGGCACTGCACAGCACGAGCCCCTCTGGCTCCCCTCTGCTCTGGGCATACTGCTCAGCAGGAGGGTGCTGGTGCTCAGAACCATCTCTTGGGTTTCCAAAAGCAGCCCTGTGCCTGGTGCTGCCGCTCACTCAGCATCGCGGGGTGATGGTGCCGGTGACGCTGTTTGTTCCACGTTGATGGTGGGGGAACGTCCAGTCTTGGAGAGGGGGTTTTGTAGGAGGGAGCCCCAGTGACACCAAACGTGGGCTGGGGGAGAGGAGGACCAGCGGTGGTGGGGACACAACAGGGCCTGTTGGCTCCTGCCCTCCATGGGACTCAGCTGGGTGAGGAGCTCCCCGAGGGCACGTGGTGACCCCAGTGCTGCCGGACACCACACAGGGACCACAGGGGATGGGGAAGGAGGGAGCGAGGCAGCGTCTGGCCGGTGGTCACCGCACTTGTGGGCAAATAATCTCTTAAAGGAGATTACCAGGCGGGAAGATTACCTCCCTAATCCCATCAGGTTGTTTGCTGCAGTTAACGGGAGATCTCGTCTGCGTGCACTGAGACCAGGCGCTCCCAGGGCAGCGGTGGCAGTGAGCGGCCGGCCCGGGATGAAGTCATTCATGCTCTTGGTTGGAGCTTTTCCTGATGTGAAGCAGTGGGATCGGGGCTGGCACCAACACTGGAAAATGCTCCTTTTTCAGTGGGGGTGTCTGGCTGGAGACCTGCAGCCTGGATCCATCCTGTGTCCCAGGGCTGGCTCCCATGGCATCCCAGCAGGATGGGGGCACCGGGGCAGCTGCAGGGTGGGATGCAGGACATGGGGTGCAGGATGCAGGACCTGTATCTGCTTTTCTCTTGCAGCCTCGCACCACAGCATCCACCATGGAGCGATTCCCTTCAGCTTTCTGCAGACACAAAGGCAGCATCTGATCCTTGTTGCTTTGGTGGGATGGGAGAAGAGCCTGATGATTCTCATGCTGAGTGCTGGGACCCACCTGGACCTGGAGCTGCATTTCCCTCCTGGGGACCAGTGGCATAAAGCTCTGTGGGCAGGGAAAGCCAAACTGTCCATCCTGCTGCAGACACAGGTGGGGTTTGGCTCCAGAGCTGGAGGTGGTGCTTGGGATGTGTGTCCTGTCCGGGTGGTGCCCATCCCCTTTGGTGGGCTGGAGACCTCTTGCCACCACGTCCATCAGCAGCTCTTGTTATGCACACTGGGAGGAGGGAGGGCTTTCAAAGTCAGTGTGGGAGGGGACAGGGACTGGGATGGGATGAGGATGGAGATGGGCATGGGTTGGGTTAGGACAGGGACTAGAATGGAATGGTGACAGTGATGGGGATAGAGAGGGGGATGGGATGGGGACAAGGATTGGGTTGTAATGGTGACAGGGGTGGGGATGGGATGGGGACAAGGATTGGGTTGTAATGGTGACAGGGATGGGGATGGGACGGGGACAGGGATCAGAAGTGGACAGTGATGGGGACAGGCTGCCACCTGCCCCCTCCAATTGCAGAGGGGCAGGGGAAGCCTGGGAAGGGGGTCCCAGCTCAGCACAGGCATGGGGGAAGCAGCAGCAGATTGAGCTGCAGCAGGAGGGATCTCAAAGCACCTGGGAAACATTTCCTGGGCAGGGAGCAGCAGCTGGTGCTGAGCTCTGCGGCCTCTCCCCAGCCAAGCTCTGAGCCAGCTGCAAACCATCCCAGATCTCTCCTCCTGGAGCTGGGACAGGCCTTCTGCTTGGGAGCTGGACTCAGCCCGGGGACCAGAGGTCTGCGAGGGCCAGATGCACCTTGATGTGCCCTGCTGGGGACCAGCAGTCAGGGACCAGCCACCCGCCCGCTGCTGAGGGCTGCTCTGCTTCGCTCTGTACTTCGCTGTGCAAAGAGCAGGTTTGGTTTCAGCCTGTTCCTTTTTCTTCCTTGCAGCTCTTTTATGTATGCAGCTAGAACCCATCCCTGCCTGCTGGCAGCTGCACAGGAAGCTTAGGGGCTGTTTATGGTTTTTTTTTTCTCTCTCATTTTACCATGTGCCTGCTGGGGCCTGTTGTTCATAGATCAGACTTCAAACCACTGTCCCTGTGTTGCCAGGCTGTGGATCTTTAACGCTGTTTCAGAAGGGGCATTTCAGGACCACTGAAGGAAAGTGGGTCCATCTCTCCCTGGTTTCCAGGTCCCCTCTCCCTGGTGCTGTGCCCACTGTTGCAGAGGCACCAGTTCTGCTCTGTTGGCCAACCAGGACAGATTGGGATTGATCTGGCACTGGGGAGCTCTGGCCAGCAGTGCCCGTCCTCCAGAGGGGCCCAGGCTCCTGAAAGGCTCCGTTCCTCAGGCTCTGGGATGCTGGGAGCATCCCCTCCCCCAGGCAGGCATCTCTCGAGGGGATCTGTCAGGAGCAGCTCAAGGTTAGGTATTTGTTGCATTACCCATGCTAATACATGCAGCACAGAGAGAGCCTCACAGAGGGCCTGACTGCTCCCTTGTGCCGACTAACACCTTCCCCCTGTGCTCCCTCAGCTTTGTGCGCCAGGATCCAGGCTTAGCCCAGGTTTGGATGTTGGCTGTTTCCTGGGATATAACATGCTCCCCTCACTGCGTGCTGCCGTGTGCTCACCGTGGGGCAGGCTCTGGGCCATGCATGAGGTTCCTCCCCAGGCACACAGAGCTTTGGGGACTGAAATGCAGCAAGGCAGAGCCTGTCCATGGAGATGATTTGCTGCAAAGGAGCCAAAAGCTCTTCCCCTCCTAGCAGTGCTGGAATGCCAGCCCAGAGCTGCTTCACGTGTCCCACAGGGGTACCAACCCCTCGTGCTGCCCATGGGGCATCCCAGTCGCGACGGGCAACAAAGGAGAAGAGGTGATGGGGCAAAACCAAGGAGCAGGGCAGCGTTTGGGCTCATGGGCACCCAAACCCCAGGTCCATTGGATGACCTTGGCACTTCACCGGCTTGTGCAGCGCCTCTGGGGGCCTCCCCAAGGCTGGGCTGTTCCTGCAGAGCGGGGCTCAGGTCCAGCGCAGCAGCTCCCTGCGGGAGTCCCTCGGGCAGGAGCTCGGTGCCCTGCGGCGCTGCCCCTGCCCCGAGGACCGGAGCCTCCCGTTGCAGCCCCGGGGGGCTCTCACCTCCCTGGAGGGGGTCCCACCTGGGCTGCCCGGGGAGCCCCGGTCCTTGATGAGCCGGGCGGGGGGCGCCGGGGCGGCGCGGCCGCTGCCCCGGGGGGGTCCTGCCGGCACCGGGCGGGGAGCCCCGGGGGATCGTTACCGGTTCCCCTTCCCGGCGGGGCGGCGCCCAGCGGCCCCGAGCGCTCCCGCGGGACCTGGCGGCGGCGGCGGGGCGGGGGCTGCCGGGGCCGGTCTCGGTGGGGCCGCGGGGCGAGGCCGGCGGGGCGGGCGCTGCCGGGGCGGGCTCGTCGGCTCCGTCCTCCCTCCGGAAGTCTCTCCCGCTCCCTCCTTTCTCCTCCTCTCCCCCGACAACATGGCCGCGAAGTCGGACGGCGGCGGCGGCCCGGCCGTGCTGCTGGAGAGCCCGGGGGGCGGCGGCGGCGGGCGGCGGGAGGGGAGCGCGGCCCCCCCGGCGCGGCGGTACCGGCTGCGGGACGGGTGCTGGGTGCTCTGCGCCCTCCTCGTCTGCTTCGCGGACGGTGCCTCGGACCTGTGGCTGGCGGCCCATTACTACGTGCGGGGTCAGCGGTGGTGGTTCGGGCTGACGCTGCTCTTCGTGCTGCTGCCCTCGCTCGTGGTGCAGCTCCTCAGCTTCAGGTGGTTCGTCTACGACTTCGCCGCCGGCAGCACCAAGGACAGCGCCGGCAGCACCAAGGACAGCGCCCGCGGCCCCCGCGGCTGCTGCCGCCTCTGCGTCTGGGTGCTGCAGGGCCTCATCCACCTCCTGCAGCTGGGGCAGGTCTGGAGGTACGGGGGTGCAGGGCTGTGGGGGTGCAGGGGGGGTATGGGGGTGCTGCAGGGCCCCATCCACCTCCTGCAGCTGGGGCAGGTCTGGAGGTACGGGGGTGCAGGGCTGTGGGGGTGCAGGGGGGGTATGGGGGTGCTGCAGGGCCTCATCCACCTCCTGCAGCTGGGGCAGGTCTGGGGTGGCGGAGCCGGGCTGGGCTGGAGGGAGTGGTGGGGTGCAGCAGGGAGGGCTGAGCAGGGGCTGGCAGGGGCTGGGATGGCGAGGTGCAGCCCATGCAATCCGGGGTGTGCTCAGGGATCGACCCCTCTGCATGCACGGCAGGATGGGTGCTGGGGGGAGCCCCAGGACAGCCCCAGCACAGCCCTGCTGTGGGTGCGGGTGGGCAGGAGCTGTGGGTGCAGGTGAGGAGGTGCTGGTTGTGCAGGGCCCGGGGAAGGCAGCTCTGGGCAGAGCGGAGCAGGCGCCAGGAGGCCCTTTGCCTGAGTCCCTGCAGCCCCTCCAAACCGAGCTGGGGGTTTGCTGGCACCTTCCTCCCTTGTGCCATGGAGCCCTGCTCCCCCCATCCCTGCTGAGCTCCATCCTTGGGTGCTGGGGAAGAGCCGTGGCTCTGGCATTGAGCTGCTTCCCAGGGTTGGTGCTGGGAGGGGAGTGGAGACAATGGCAAATTCCGGGAACAATGCATGGAGCAGGCAGTGCTCAGCTCGGGTTTCCATGCTGCTTCCCCTCCTGGGCTTCTGTAGTACCGAGGCTCCTCCACTTCCCATTGTTGCCTGCATGCATTGCTTCATCCACTGCTTTTCCCGGGATGCTCTGGGATGTCCAACTTTGCTTCACAGTGCAGTAAGCACCGTGCTGGGGGGGCTCCTGCCCCTTCCCTCACCAGCAGCTGCTGCCCATCCACATGACAGCCCTCGGGGTATGCGGGGGGCAGGATGGGTGCAAACCCTGCCATGGTGTGCAGGAGGAGCTGGTGAGGGAGGGGACAGGAGCCTGCCTGCAGCGGCCTTGTCCCCAGCACCCTGCAGGCAATGACCCGGTCCTGGCTGGAGCTGGGGCTGGGCTGTGGTTGGGTCTTTGCTCCCGGTAGTGTCAGCCACGCTCTCCTGATCTGCTGCACCACGGAGCCTCTTAAGCCAATTAAAGCGGTAACTCAGCACTGACCCTCCAGGACATGTTGGTCTCAAGCTGCAGCTGAGGCTCTTCCTAAACCTGGGATTTGGGATTAGCTCGGGTGAGCAGTGAAATGCAGTTTGCTAAACCCATTAGCGAGGCTGGATCCGGTGCAGGTGGATGTGGCAGTTAAGGAAGTGTCGGCTGAAGGCTGCGTGTGAAGGGAAGGCTCTGCCCTGGCCAAACGCCTCCCCCTTCCCCCTTTCCCTGCCTCCCCCCTGCCTCAGCAGGGCTCACCCCCACCAAACCCACCGCGTGTGCCTCCCACCGGCAGCGTGCCGGGGTCCCTGACACCCCCATGGGCTGGCAGCTGATGGGGCTCTGTGCATCCCCTTGCACTGGGGGACAGCCCTGCTGGTGCCCGCTGTGCCCTGTCTCCACTTTAGCCCAGGGTTAGGGTTAGGGTTTGGGCTGCCTGGGGGTCCCCAGGAGCAGACCTGGGGTGCTCTCTGCACCTGCAGGTCCTCCCCAGGGGCCTCCCATCAGTTCCCCCATCCTCTGGCTTGGGAACCCGGTGCCACCCCTCGGTCCTGGTGCCAGCCCCCTGGGGCATAGACACTCCCTGGGCTCATGAAGGGGGGCAGATCTGGGACACACAGGTCCCCACCAGCCCCTCTGCTCTGCTGCTGGGGCAGTCACTCCCTGGGGTCTCCACTTTATAGGGCTGGGCCGAGCCTGTCCCTGAGCACCCGGGTGCCCCAGGCATACTGGGGTGCAGGGATGGTGGCACCTGGGGCTTTCCTTGGCTCTCCCTGATGACCTGACTTGGTGGGATGTGTGGGGATTAAAATGGCTGCAACAGGGAAGCAATCTCCTTGTTGGAATAAAAGATTCAGGGCTGATATCCCAAACTGCCTCCTAGGAAAATGCTCTGTGAACCCAGGGGTCCCACATCCTGCTCCATCTGAGGACGATGAGTAGTGCATTTGGTGATAACCAGAGCTGGCCTTTTCTCCTTACACTTCTGTTTGTTCCAACGCTTTTAAACTGGGGTCAGTCGCTGGGAGCTGGTGGCAAATGGGGACATTGGTGACAACCCCATCCATGGTGGGGCTCTGGCGAACCCAGCACCCGTCAGCACCCAGCACCTTCCCACTGCAGGGGTTGCGCTGGGTTCCTCTGTGCCCCACGGAGCAGGGAGCAATCAGCGCTGCGAGCACCACGCTCAGCTCCTGCCTCATCACCAGCTCTTTGAAAGTGAAATGAGTCCCCCCCTCCGTGATTGATTCCGTGTTTCCCACCATGTGCAGGGCTGGGGAGCGCCCGCCTGCGCTGTCAGCGCGGGGATGTTTCTCTGGGCTGAACCCCCACGGGGTGATCAAATGCATCGCAAACAGGAGCCAGCGTTTCATTCTGATGTGTGGATGGGAGATGAAGCCTCGGGTTAATGAGATCCGTGGAGCTGATGGGCAGGCGGGGGAGAGCGGGGCCCTCTCTGGAGGCTGGGGGAGGCTGCAGGTCACTTGTTGAGCAGTGGAGGGGCCGGGGACGCTGTGGCTGTGGGGTCTGCACGCAGCGGGCAGCGGGCTCACAGCTGCAGAGCCCAGTTGGTGAGGCTGATTGCAGGGAGAGGGTGAGGTCACTGCTGCCTGGGCCCATTCATGAATGGGTGCCCTGGGACCAGCAGTGGTGCCCCACAGCATCCCAGGCTCTGTGTTGCTTCTCCCATTGTGTTCTCCCTAAGCTGTGCCCCCCATCCCTGCTCTGCTCCCAGTGAAGGGGGGAGTCTGTCCCTGGGGGCTGGTGAGGAGGGGGGCCGGGGCAGTGGTGCCAGGGTGCAAACCTGTGCCAGGAGCTGAGCAGCTGCAGCCTCCCCCTCCGAGCAGCGAGGGACAGGCAGCAGCAGAGCCTAAAATCAGCTGCGCCCCCCGAGGTGGAGGTTAAAGCATCGCTTTGTCACCAGTGCAGGGAGGGCCCGGAGCTGGGCTGGCCCCTGCAGCCATCGGCACCGGCTGCAACCGGGGCAGAGCTACTGAAGCCGTGCTGTTTGACGACAGCAACATCCTGCCTGGCCACCGGCTCCTGGGGGAGGTTCGGGGGGCGGGGGGAGCTGTAGGGGATGGAGCAGATGGTGATGGGGCTGCTGACACCCGGCAGGACCACCAAGGAGGACCACGGGAGCCCCATGGGCCCAGGATGCTCCCCCTGCCCTCCCATGGCTGCAGTGGGGTGTTCCCAGCTGACGGCCCCCACTGTGGTCTTGGGGCTGTCCCTGCAGCGGGAGCAGGGCTGGCTCCTGCTCCTTCCGCTGACGGATGAGCTGAAAGTGCTGGGATCAGGGTTTCTCCTGCGCTCCGGGATAATGGATTTGGCTGGCAGCGCTTCTGGAGCTGATGGAGAGGCTGTCGCTCTGTGTGAGGGTTTGATGGGGCTGGGAGAAGCTTTATGGCCTGATATCCTCCTGCTTCAGCTTCCTGCCTTCCCGTGGTGCCGGCGGGGCTGCGGGGATGTCCTGCCCCTCGGGCCGTGCCCCTCCGGCAGTGCCCGGATCCATCCCCGTGCCACGGGGAGGGGTCCCCGGCGGCGGTGACTCATCCGGTGCGGGTCGGTGCCACACACACCTCCAGTGACCCCGGCCCACGACCAGATGGCCGCGGCCAGTGTGTGCCTGCGCCCGCGGCAGTGCCAAGAGCCGAGGCAGCACCGGCACCAGCTCCCGGTGCTTCCCACCGGCAGCGCCGCACGACCAGCTGGTGCCTCCGTGCTGGCCAGGGCAGGGGACGTGGGGGGGATCCGTGCCATGGGACCAAAATATCCCCTTTGGGAAGCAGCCGGACGCGGTGCTGGGATGGGGCACCCCGAGTCCATGGGTGGCCGGAGAGAGGGGCCGGATCCCTGACTTGGTGGGGGGAAGCCAGATCCTGCATGGGGGAGACTGCACAAGGGCAGCACCCAGAGGTGGTGGCCGGGTGAGCCCCGGGTGCTGAGCTGGCTTTGCATAAGCTGCTCCTCCCTGGCACCTCGGGGTGGGACAGGGACGTGCGTTCAGCTCTGGGCCCCCAGCACAAGAGGGATGTGGACCTGCTCGAGCGGGTCCAAAGGCCACGGGGCTGCTGCAAGGGCTGGAGCAGCTCTGCTCTGGAGCCAGGCTGAGAGAGCTGGGCTGGGTCAGCCTGGAGAAGAGAAGGCTCCTGAAGGGGAGACCTGAGAGCAGCTCCAGTGCCTGAAGGGGCTGCAGGAAAGCTGGAGAGGGGCTTGGGACAAGGGATGTAGGGACAGGCCAAGGGGAATGGCTTGAACCTGCCCGAGGGGAGATTGAGCTGAGCTCTTAGGAACTGGAAGAGCTTTCAAGGTCCCTTCTAACCCAAACCATTCTATGGGAGGGTTACACCTTGCAGCCCCCTTGCATCCTGGGTGCATGGGGCTTTCTGTGGCCCCAGATCATGTGGGAAGTGCTTCTGGGTGGGGTCGGCAGCGGTCACAGGGCATGGCTGGCATGGGCAGGGGCTGAGCTCAGCTGCCTGTGCCCTGGGGCTCATCTCCGCTCCCACCCCCCCGCAGGTACCTCCGCACGCTGTACCTGGGGCTGCAGAGCCGGTGGCAGGCCGAGCACCGCCGGCGGCACTTCTACTGGCGCATGATGTTTGAGAGCGCGGACATCAGCATGCTGCGGCTGCTCGAGACCTTCCTGAAGAGCGCGCCCCAGCTCGTGCTGCAGCTCAGCATCATGGTGCAGCAGAACAGCATCGAGCCCCTGCAGGGTAAGGGCATGGTGTCCACGGCAGGGGGACGGGGTGGCCGGAGGGGGGACCTGGGGCTGCTGCAGGCTCTCACTGCCCCTTCCCCATGCAGGGTTCTCGGCCTCGGCCTCGCTGGTGTCCCTGGCGTGGATGATCGCCTCCTACCAGAAGGTGCTGCGGGACTCGCGGGAGGACAAGATGCCCATGTCCTACAAGGGGGCCGTGGTGCAGATCCTGTGGCACCTCTTCACCATCGCCGCCCGTGCCATCGCCTTCGCCCTCTTCGCCTCCGTGTTCCAGCTCTACTTCGGCATCTTCATCGTCACCCACTGGTGCATCATGACCTTCTGGATCATCCAGGGCGAGACGGACTTCTGCATGTCCAAGTGGGAGGAGATCATCTACAACATGGTGGTGGGCATCATCTACATCTTCTGCTGGTTCAACGTCAAGGAGGGCCGGAGCCGCTACCGAATGTGCATCTACTACATCATCACGCTGTCGGAGAACGCCGCCCTCACCATCCTCTGGTTCCTCTACTACGACCGCGAGACCACCTCCGACTTCGACGCCTTAATCCTCGTCTGCGTGGTCAGCTCCAGCTTCGCCCTCGGCATCTTCTTCATGTTCATCTACTACTGCCTCTTGCACCCCAACGGCCCCATCTTCAGCTCCAGCGGCGGGGGGTGCATTTTCCGGCAGCAGCCGGCCCCGGTGCCGGGGTCCCCCGTGGACGCCGTCACCAGCCCGCCCCGCTCGCTGCCGCGGACTACAGGGGGGGAGCGGGACGGGGCGCCGGGGGAGCGGGACAGTTGTGTGCCCGTCTTCCAGGTGAGACCCTGCGCGCCGCCGGCGCCGGCCGCCCGCGCCCCGCGGACAGAGGGGCCCGTCATCCGCATTGACCTGCCCAGGAAGAAGTACCCGGCCTGGGACGCCCACTTCATCGACCGGCGCCTGCGGAAAACCATCCTGGCGCTGGAGTACGCGTCACCCAGCACCCCGCGCCTGCAGTACCGCACCCCCGGCGCCCCCCAGGAGGTGCTGGAGTACGAGACCACCGTGTAGGGCGCGGGGCCACAGCGGGGTCCTCCGGTGCCATCCCGAGCACCCCGCGGCTCCGCAGCCCTTTGCCTTTCTGTTGGGTTTGCGGGCGCTGCCGAGCGGGAAGGGGCCGGGGGGGGGTCTCTTGGTGCTATCCCCGCCCCGCGCCGCCCTCCCGCAGCCGAGACCCCAGTTCCACCCCATGGCTCCCCCCCGCCCGGGGCTCGTCCTTGCCAAATACCTCACCGGTGCCTGAGCCCGAGGCGGGGGTGCTGCGGCCCCGCGGTGCTCAGCAGTTTCCATGGTGCAGGATGGGGGTCGGGGGCACCCCTGAGTGGGGGCCGGCAGCTGTGAGGGGCTTGGGGCACGGAGGGGCACAGCGTGACCCGGGAGGGCAGCAGCTGGGGACACGGGTGCCTGTGTCACAGCAGCGCCATGGGGCTGGAGTGTGGCTGAACCGGGCTGTGTGTGGGGCTCCTCACCCCCCATGGAGCTGGAGTAGGGGACAGCCGGGGTCCGGCCAGCCCCTCCATGTCACCTTCTTGCCCCAGGGGAGCCCCTTTATCTCCACTCTTGCTCCCCCCGGTTCAGGGTTGAGCCATGTCCCCAGCCCCACGGGTCCTGTCTGTGCTGTGGGGTGCAGATCCTGTCCTGGGGTCCTCTCATGGGACCCTGCTCCACCTGGCCCCCGCTGTCCCTCCTGTCCCCGCGGGAACCACTTCATCTCATCGGGTTTGTTTTCACCGCAATGGTGACATTTTGTGTGACATTTTCTACCTCCACTGCAGCCGGGGGGCAGGGTCTGGCACCACTGAGGAGGCACCGGCATTCCAGGGGCTCCCCAAAGTGGGATTCACCCCCAGAGGTTCCCCCCTCCCGGGTTCGGCATCTCTATCCACCCAGGAGTGTTCCCATTCACCCCCCCATCAGCATCAGCCCCCTCCAGCTCCCCAGTATGAACCTGAGCGAGAATCCTGCCTGCCCCAGGCTTGGGGCTGCCCCGCTCTCCGGGTCTGAATGTGTCCCTGGTCCGGACCCATTGGTGTGCGCCCACCCAGAGGGCTGAATGTAGTCAAGGTCCCCAGGGCCAGGCACGTCCCAGGGGAGTGTGTGTGTGTGTGTGTACATGTGTGTGTACATGTGTGTGTGTGTGTGTGTACGTGTGTGTGCATGTGTGTGTGCATGTGTGTGTGTGTGTGTACGTGTGTGTGCGTGTGTGTGTGTGTGTGTGTGTGTACGTGTGTGTGCATGTGTGTGTGTGTGTGTACGTGTGTGTGCATGTGTGTGTGTGTGCATGTGTGCATGTGTGTGTGTGTGTACGTGTGTGTGCATGTGTGTGTGTGTGTGTACGTGTGTGTGCATGTGTGTGTGTGTACGTGTACGTGTGTGTGCATGTGTGTGCGCGTGTGTGTGCACGTGTGTGTGCATGTGTGTGTGCGTGTGTGTGTACGTGTGTGTACATGTGTGTGTGTACATGTGTGTGTGTACATGTGCATGTGTGTGTGCATGTGTGTGTGCATGTGTGTGTGTACGTGTGTGTACATGTGTGTGTACATGTGTGTGTGTACATGTGTGTGTGTACATGTGCATGTGTGTGTGCGTGTGTGTGCATGTGTGTGTGTACATGTGTGTACATGTGTGTGTACATGTGTGTGTGTACATGTGTGTGTGCATGTGTGTGTGCATGTGCGTGTGTGAATGTGTACATGTGTGTGTACATGTGTGTGTACATGCGTGTGTGCATGTGTGTGTACATGTGTGTGTACGTGTGTGCATGTGTGTGTGCATGTGTGTGTACATGTGTGTGCATGTGTGTGCGTGCATGTGTGAATGTGTACATGCGTGTGTGCAAGTTTGCCGATGACACCAAGCTGTGTGGTTCGGTTGATACCCTGGAGGGAAGGAATGCCATCCAGAGGGACCTCGACACGCTTGTGAGGTGGGCTGATGCCAACCTCATGGAGTTTAACCATGCCAAGTGCAAGGTCCTACACCTGGGTCAGAGCAATCCCAGGCCCAGCTACAGGTTGGGCAGAGAAGAGATTCAGAGCAGTCCAAGGAGAAGGACTTGGGGGTGTTGGTGGATGAGAAAATGAACATGAGCCGGCTTCAGTGTGCACTTGCAGCCCAGAAAGCAACCGTGTCCTGGGCTGCATCCAAAGGAGCGTGACCAGAAGGTCGGAGGAGGTGATCCTGCCCCTCTGCTCTGCTCTTGTGAGACCTCACCTGGAGCATTGTGTGCAGTTCTGGTGTCCTCAACATAAAAAGGACATGGAACTGTTGGAACAAGTCCAGAGGAGGCCACGAGGATGATCAGGGACTGGAGCACCTCCTGTATGGAGACAGGCTGAGGAAGTTGGGGCTGTTCAGCCTGGAGAAGAGAAGGCTGTGTGGGACCTCAGAGCAGCTTCCAGTACCTGAAGGGGGCCTATAGGGATGCTGGGGAGGGACTCTTCATTAGGGACTGCAGTGACAGGACAAGGGGTAACGGGTTCAAACTGAAACAGGGGAAGTTTAGATTGGATCTAAGGAGGAAATTCTTTCCTGTGAGGGTGCTGAGGCACTGGAATGGGTTGCCCAGGGAGGTTGTGAATGCTCCATCCCTGGCAGTGTTCAAGGCCAGGTTGGACAGAGCCTTGGGTGAGATGGTTTAGTGTGAGGTGTCCCTGGCCATGGCAGGGGGTTGGAACTGGATGATCTTAAGGTCCTTTCCACCTCGAACTGTTCTGTGATTCTCTGATTCTATGTGTGAATGTGTACATGTGTGTGTACACGTGTGTGTACACGTGTGTGTGTGCACGTGTGTGTACACGTGTGTGTGTACATGTGTGTGTGTGCATGTGTGTGTACACGTGTGTGTGTGCGTGTGCAGGGGCTGGCAGAGGTTTGCAGGGCTGTGATGCTGCCGGACCCCACAGCCCTTTGCCGCCCACTCCCACAGCCCCTGTGCCTTCCCCGTGTCCCCTGTGCCCCCCGCCACAGCCACGTCGGGTCCCGGCCCCCGGCTGCCCCGTGCCGCGGTGCCAAGCCCTGCCATGGGATGGGATGGGATGGGATGGGATGGGATGGGATGGGATGAGATGGGATGAGGAGCGGCACAAGGGACCAGCCGCGGGGAGGGCTGGATCGTGGGATCTGCGCTTGGGAAGGCGGCGGCAGCGCGGTGTCGGTGTCATCACGTTTTTCTTTCCCATTTCTCTGTAGCTGGAAGGCCGGGGGCGGGGGGGGGGGAGCGGGCAGGGCCGGCGCTGGGGACACTGGTGCTAACTGGTGCTAACTGGAAGCCTCGGAATCCCTTTCGTTTCGGAGGAGGGGGGCGGCACTTGGCTGGGGCCGGGCTCCCCGTGAGCTGCACCCCACAGACCCCGCGGCGGGTGCTGACGGTGCCAGGGGCAGCTTTAGGGGGGTCTCATTTCCTCAGGGAAGGTCGGGGGCAGCGGCCGGGGGAGCCGGGCTGGGGCCGGGGCTCGTCCCTGCGGTCCCTGCGCATGGGGACCGGGTGCCAGCACAGGGGGGGCTCCTCTGAGCTCCCTCTGCCCCAGCCCCTCTCCCTGTCTCCCCCCAGAGCAGAGAGAAGCCACCGGTCGGGTCAATCCGCATCCCCCCCCCCAGTGCCCTGGGGCTTGCGCGGGGACCCTGGGCACAGAGGGACACTTTTCTATGCACTCAAGCCACGGTACCCTCAGCCCTGGGCTGCTCCGGGCAGGGGGCTCAGCAGCAGCGAGCCCCAGGGCTCAGCCGCCCCCTCAGCCTGTGCCGCAGGGGAAGCCAAACCCAGCGCCCCGGAGCCAGCGGCAGCACCGGGACCACGGCGAGGGGGCACGACCTGGGGCCGAGCTGGGTGCTGCGGGATGGGGCAGCGCTGGGGGTGCTCGAGCTCCCGCTGCAGATGGGGGTCCTGGTCCCTGGGGGTGTCCCCGGGGCCACCCCGGCGTCAGGGAGCGGGGAGAGGTTTGGGATGGGGCCCTTGGTCAGGGTTTGCCCCCGGTCAGGGTCGCTGGATCCCGGCGGGGGCTGCCGGGGGGGTGTCGGCCACATCCCTGTCCCCCCCCTCCATGGCGGCCGCTGTCACGTACTGTAAATACTGTGTGTGCCACCTTCTTCTCTGGGAGCCGGCGCGGGCAGGGTCGAGGGGAGGCCGGGGCCGGACCGAGACTTTTTTGTACTCCACGAACTTTTTGTATATTTTTAATTTTGCTGCAACATGAGAAATTAAATTCATTTCAATAACCCCGGCCTGCGGGTCCGCTCCTTGCCGCGGCCCCGCCTCAGCGCCCTGCAGCGGGGCGGGACGCTGTGTCCCGGGGTGCTCCCCATGGAGCAGGATGGCTGCGGTGGTGCTGTGTGCGCGGTGCCTCTGGCCGGCAGCGAAGGGGTGCGCGGGCAGGATGCTGGGCAGGAAGCCGCTGGATGGGGCTGCTGCCGGACCAACCTCCTCCCTGCCGGAGGCCCTGCGCAGCCCCCAGACCCACGGTGGGCTCGGGCCCCATGGGTGCCCGTGGGGATGAGGAGCTGGGTGCAGTTGAGCAGGATCCTGCTGGTGCCGTTCCCTGCCTCATGGTCCCATGGGCACGGCGAGAAAGGGGCAGTGAGGGCCAGGAGCTGCCAGCTCTGCCCATGAAGATATGGCTGATGTGGGGCCATGGGGCAGCAGAACCAGACCCAAGCCCGGGGGGAGCCCTGTAGCAGTGAGGGGCAGGGGCTGCTCTGCAGTCAGGTCCCACCAGCACCCCCAGCCCCAAACCCAGGCCCGGCACCTGCTCCGGTCCCATCCAGCCCACTTCAGTCCCTGCTGCTGACCAAATCCCAGCCCACTCCCAGCACAAATCCCATCCCTGGTCCCAGCCCGTGTTCCAGCCCAGCACCAGCCCAAGCCCCTGCTCCAGTCCCATCCCAGCCTCCTTCGGCCCGTTTCTCCCCAAGTACCAGCGTAGTCCCAATCCTGGTCCAAGTCCTGGTCCCAATCCCAGATGCAGCCACAGTCCCAGTCCTATTCCCACTCCTAATCCCAGTCCCAGCCCAGCCCAGTCCAGTCCCAGCACCCCGCAGGAGGGGCAGGAACTCACATCCCGGCCATCCTGGTGGAGTTTCCGACACAGGAAAGCGCAGCGGCGCCGAGCGGGGCGGCCGTGCCGAGAGCCAGCGCCGCGGCCGCCATGGACTGCGAGGCCAAGAAGGGGAAGAAGGTGCTGGGGCCGCGGGTGGTGTCCGGGGGGGGCTGCGGGAAGGTGGGAGCGGGCGAGACTCATGGGACAAAAGGGCCTTGCAGCCCTTCCTATAGGGTGCTGGGGAGAGGTGGGGTCTGCACTTGCTGTTTCCCACCCACCCAAAGGGAGGTCAGGGAGCAGAGGGGTGCCCTGGGTGCCGGGGTTGGGTGCTGATGTGTCCCTGCACCCCTTCTCTCCCCAGGGCTTCGTGTCGCCCATCAAGCGGCTGGTGTTCCCCAAGGCAGCCCGGCGGCACGCGCTCCGCAGCAGCGTCTACCGGCGGCCGCTGCACTCGGTGCCCCTCTACCCCCCCGACTACCTGATCGACCCCCAGATCCTGCTGCACGACTACGTGGAGAAGGAGGTGAAGGTAAAGGGGTGGGGGAGCCCCAGGGGTGCCCGGGTCCACAGCACGCTGAAAGGCACTGCCCATTGTGGCCAGGAGGGTGCTGGTCCCCTTCCTGCCCAGACAAACACTCCGGTAAGGGGGTGGTGGGATGGGGCCCCCGTCTCAGGGACCCCCAAGCTGCCCTGGGTTTTGTGTCCCAGTTTTTAGGCCACCTGACGTGGGTGACAGCCTCGCTGAACCCCTCCAGCCGGGATGAGGTGCTGCAGCTGCTGGACACAGCCAGGGTAAGAGGGGCCCCACTGGACTGCCCCCAGTGCTGCCCAGAGGGTGGGTGCCGGGTGCTCCATGCCACCGGGTGCCCCATGGCACACACTGCCCCACAGCAGCTGAAGGAGCTGCCGCTGCAGACGACGCCGGAGCAGGACAGCATCCTCAGCCTCTCTGCCCGCTGCCTCCTGCTCACATGGCGAGACAACGAGGAGCTGATCCTGCGCATCCCCACACACGAGATCGCCGCCGCGTCCTACCTGCGGGATGATGCCCTGCACCTCCTCATCCTCAAAACCGGTGCGGGCATTGGGACAGGGCCACCGGTGCGGCACAGCTGGCCCCGAGCACCCAGTGTGCCCAGGGCATGAGGGGCTGGAGCTTTGAGGGTGATGGGGAGGTGCTGGGTCCGGTTGGGGCATAAAAACCCCACCTTGCCCCCCTGAGCTGGTGGGGTCTGAGCTCCAGCCTGCACACAGAGCAGTCCCCTAATCTTTGTCCCTAATCCTCCAACCCACTGGGGCTCCCCCATCCCCGTTCCATCCCACCCATCCCAAGGGGAAATGGCTTTAACCTGAAAAAGGGTCAGATTTAGATTAGGTATCAGGCAGAAGCTCTTCCCTGTGAGGGTGCTGAGGCGCTGGCACAGGGTGCCCAGAGAAGCTGTGGCTGCCCCATCCCTGGCAGTGCTCAAGGCCAGGTTGGACACAGGGGCTTGGAGCAAGCTGCTCCAGTGGAAGGGGTCCCTGCCCGTGGCAGGGGTTGGAGCTGGAGGAGCTTTAAGGTCCCTTCCAACCCAACCCATCCTGGGGCTCTAGGATCCCCTGGGGCAGCCAGGGCAGGGGCAGGGCTCGGGGCAGGGTGGGCAGCGCAGCCCCCGCCCTGATGCCCGCTCTCTCCCCGCTGCCCCAGGCCTGGGAGTGGACCCGGTTCCCGCCGGAGCGCACCCGGAGGCGGCGCCCCCCGGGTTACCGGAGGCCTTCCCGGCCGAGAAGCGGGCGGGGGGCTCGTGGCCGGAGGGCGGGCGGCTGGGGGGGGCCATGGAGCGGCGGCACACCATCTGCAGCCTGGACTGGCGGGCGGCGCGGGGCGGGCAGGACGGCCGCCAGGGCGGCAGCCTCGAGCGGCGCCGCGGCGGCAGCTGGGAGCGGCGGCAGCGCGGGCGGCCCTCGGGCAGCTGGGAGCGGCGGAGACCGGGCACCGCCGGCGGGAGCTGGGAGCGCGGCACCGGCTTCGGCAGCTGGGAGCGGCGGCACGCGGGCAGCAACCCTCTGGAGCCGCAGGAGCCCTGCCCTGACGCCTACTCCAACCTCATCATCCTCGCCGTGCCCAACAGGGTGAGCGGCGCCGGCACCCACGGCACACGGCATTCGCCTGCCGGCACACGGGCACCCAGCGGCACACGGGCACCCAGCGGCACATGGGCACCCAGCGGCACACGGGCATCCAGTGGCACACAGGCATCCAGTGGCACATGGGCACCTAATGGGACACAGGCACCCAATGGCACATGGGCACCCAGTGGCACATGAGCACCTAATGGGACATGGGCACCCAATGGCACATGGGCACCCAGTGGCACATGAGCACCTAATGGGACATGGGCACCCAATGGCACATGGGCACCCAGTGGCACATGAGCACCTAATGGGACATGGACACCCAATGGCACATGGGCACATGGGCACCCAGTGGCACACGGGCATCCAGCGGCACACGGGCATCCAGTGGCACATGAGCACCTAATGGGACATGGGCATCCATGGCACATGGGCACTCAATGGCACTTGGGCACCCAATGGGACATGGGCACCCGGTGGCACTTGGGCACTCAACGGCACTTGGGCACCCAATGGCACATGTGCTCCCTGTCCCTCCCACTGCAGGATGCTGCCGAGGAGTCCTGTGCGCTCATCTGCCAGGTCTTCCAGATCATCTACGGGGACCAGAGCATCGAGTGCGTGGATCGTGCCGGGTACCACTACACCTCCACCCCAACACGGCCCTGGCTCTCCAGCCGCAGTGAGTGGTGGGGGGCAGGCATGGGGACACCAAGCGGGTGGCATGGGGCTGTGTGCAGGGGCAGAGGCTTGGCCCCACTCTGAGACCCTCATTTCTCCCTCCCCAGGTGAGAGCTGCCGCACAGACGGGACGTACGCCTATGATGCTGACTTCAGCTGCTGCAGCTCTTTGTGAGTCTGGTACCCTCAGGATGCCCGTGCCCCGGGTGGGTTCCCTGCACTGGGATGGGTGACTGCAGAGATGCCCCGATGGGTGCTGTGCAGTGAGATGGGGTCAGCCAGGCAGATGAGGGGTGCCAGGACCCCCTGACCCCCATTCTCCCACAGCAACAGCTCCCACGAGACCTTCGAGGCGTATTACAGCGGTGCCTCCTCGCCCTCCTTCCACCGGTCCCACCACAGCCTGGCCACTGCCTGCAGCGGCAGCGACCAGAGCGGCGCGGGGCTGGAGCAGCTGCAGGACTACATGGTGACGGTGAGGGGACAGGGACGGGAGAAGGGCCCTGCTCAGTGCTGGCAGGTCTGAGGCCCTGTGCCCAGCAGCCAACAGGGAGCAGGGCCTCTGTGCTGCTGGTACCCCCAGCCCTGACCTGCCCCTGTGTCACTGCAGCTGCGCAACAAGCTGTCACCACAGGAGATCCAGCAGTTCGCCCTCCTCCTGCGGGAATACCGCCTGGGCACGCCGGTGCAGGAATACTGCACCGAGCTCCTGCGCCTCTATGGGGACCGCAGGAAATTCCTCCTCCTGGGTGAGGGTTTGGGCTCCCTGTGTCAGCGTGTCATCCTGGGGATGGGGTGTGTGCGCTGGGTGTGCTCTGGGGGGTGCTGGGATGGGATGGGATGGGATGCGATGGGATGGGATGGGATGAGCCAGCAGTGGGGATGGTTGGCATTGCACCCCAGTGCTGCCCACCCAGGCAGGGCTACTCCAGCACTCACGGTGCCCATGGCAGGAATGAGACCCTTCATCCCCGACCAAGACATCGGGTACTTCGAGACGTTCCTGGAGAGCATCGGCATCCGGGAGGGCGGGATCCTCACCGACAGCTTCGGCCGCATCAAGCGCAGCATGAGCAACACCTCAGCCTCAGCCGTGCGCAGCTACGACAGCTGGTCCCTGCGCTCCGAGTCCGAGTCCTTCAACCGCATGATCACGGACATCACCCACGACATCGAGGCGCTGGCGCGGGATGAGGAGGAGGAGGAGGACGAGGAAGAGGACAACTACCTGTGAGGGGGTGCCCTCCCTGCTGCCCAAGGTGACCAGCTCTGCCCCCGTGCCTGGAAGGGAGGACATTGTACCCCTCTCTGTCATTGTGGCAGGGGACAGGGGCTCTGCACTGCCCTGGCAGCTCTCGGCGGGGCTGATGGCATCGCAGGTACCCCATGGTGGTGGGGGAGCCCCCGGCCAGCAGCGCCATGTGCTGTAATCGCTGCGGATTGCAATTAAATGCCAGAGCTGGGAGTGGAGCAGGTTCTATCCTGGGCAAAGGACATGCCGGGGCACATGGGATGCTATGGCTGGGGCTGAGCGGGGCAGGGGCTGCTGCAGCCCTGCCAGGCACCGTGCGGCTGCTGGGCTGGGGCACGCTGCTCACCCCAGTGCTCACCCACACGCAGGCTGCTCCCAGAGCCGGGGTTCCCCGGGGACAGTCCTGGCAGCGCGGGACCCCCGGAGCAACCCGGGGGGGGCAGAGAGGGTGGGATGGGACGGGACGGGACGGGACAGGAAGGGACTGGGGCTGCCTGCCTGAGCAGGGGCTGCTGTGGGGCTGCCCCCATCCTGCTGCCAAGCCCCGGGGTGAGGGCCGGGCTGGGGCACACCGAGATGGGCCATGCCATGGGCAGCCGCTCCCCGTTACCGCGGGTGACGGCCCCGCAACACCGGCCCGGCCGCGGCCGAGGGTGTTCCGTGAGAGGAAGTTCCTGCCCCGGGACCGGCTTCCTGCAGCGCTGCCGCAGCCCTCCCGCTGCCCTCCCGCACGCCCGGCCCCGGATGATGTCCCGTGGCCGATGTCCCTCGCTGGGGGCTGCAGGATGGGGTCCGGGCCGCAGCGTGGGCAGCAGACGCGGGGGTTACCGCAGCACCTTCTTTTTCCTCTCTTTGATTTCCATATGCAAACCCTGTGCAGGAGAGGCCCCGGCCGCTTCCTCTGATGCTCCAGAGCACGGCCTGGGTCCGCCTGGGCCTGCCCACCATGGGGGGTGTCACCGCAGGGCCCTTTGCTGCTGCTGTCCCGGCCCCAAATTCAGGGCTGCTCTGGCTGAACCGGAGCAAAGGCTGGAGAGGGGACCTGGGATGATTTTGGCATGGGAACACGAGGGCCAGGAGAGCAGGAGCCCCGTGCCCTGCACTGCTCTGTGCCCTGCACCCCATCACGGGACAGCGCTTGGGGGTCTCCTCTTTCCCCTCTGCAGGGGTGGAGAACCAGGCTCACCCCACACCAGCCTGGGCTCACCCCACACCAGCCTGGGCTCACCCCACGATCCCTGCTGCCAGCCAGGAACCACTCTGGGGTGTCGGACCCCAAATCCTCCCGAACCCTCCAGGGCAGCAGGGCTGGGGGGGCGAGCAGGGCTCTGGCACCCATCACAGGGCCGGGGTGGGATGGGAAGTCCCTGCAGGCATTACGGGTGCCCTCGAAAGCCTTCAGTAGATGGGTGCCCCGCTTGGAGCGCGAGGTCCTGTTCTGCGTGCAACGGGATCCCCGCTCCTGTCCCGGTTTGGGACCCCGGCGCTGGGACACGCGGTATCAGCCGCGCCCTCCCCGTCGGGCAGCACCGGGGGACAGGGGCGGGGCCTTACCGGGAGAGGCGTGGTTTCACCGGGCGGGGGCGGATTTACCGGGGAGGGGCGGCGGGGGCGCAGCCGGGCAGAGCGGAGCGGCGGCAGCAGCAGCAGCCGGGACAGGGACCGGGGACCGGGAACCGGGACCCGGGACGGCAGCGCAGGTGAGAGCGGAGCCGAAAGCGGGACCCCGGGAGCGGCGGGGGGAGCCCCGGTGCCGGGCAGCCCGGTGGGTCCGTCCCTGCCCCGGTCCTGCTCCGTGCCGGCCCCGCTCGGTGCGGCGGTGCCCGAGGGGAGGCGGTGGCAGCGGTCCCGGTGCGTCCCGGTGCAGCCCCTCGCTGTGGTCCCTGCTGGTGTCCCTGCAGGGGCCGCCGGGGACCCTCAGAGCTGTTTGTGCTTTGCAGGGCTGAATGCGGCCCTGCCACGGGCAGCGGGGCTGAGCCAGGCTTTGCCACACTGGGAAGGACAAGGAGCAGTGGTTGGGAGGCGACAGCGATGTCCCTCGAGAGCCATGCAGCAAGGCCAGCGGTGCTGGGCGCACCGCAGGGTCCTGCTCAGCCCCGAGCTTCCTCCTTCACTGTCACCCTGGGCACCTTCTCCTTTCCCCGTACCGAGCTCTTCCCCGAGCAAGGGAAGAGCCTTTGTGGGGTTTCCCCCTGCTCTTTGCAGCCGTTTCCCCACGGGTGCTCCTTGGGGAGCTGCAGGACGCTGAGCGCTTGCGTTTGCCCTGGGCTGGTGCTGGGTGCGGAGCCCTGGGCTGTGGGGGAGCCCCACTGTGATGGGGGCCCCGCTCTGCAGACCAAGCCAAGCGGCTCTCGGCCCCCGTGGTGCTCAGTGCCTGCATCCCTGGCTGGGGAAGGGCTGTGAAGCTGCCCCATGGCAGCCGCTGTCACCTGCCCAAACCTTGCCTCCTGTGGCTTCTCCTTTCTCTGCACAGGGAGGTTCCTTTTCCCCTCCACATGCTGCCCCCCCCCCGGCTCCCTGATGGGAGCAGAGCCCTCCCTGCCCGTGGCAATGCGGCATCACAGCCCCATGCCATGCGCCCCATAGCTGGGGGTGCAGTGGGGCTTTCACCTCTGTCGCAACGGCCTCACTTCCCCTCCCCAGGCTCCAGGATGGGTTGCCTGAAGTCAAAGGAAGCTGGTGTCCAAGAGAAGATGAAAACCGACCCTGACCCCAGCCCCAGCCTCCAGCAGGGCCACTACGTGAGGGACCCCACCGCCACCAACAGGAGGGTGAGTGGGAGCCACTGGGTGAGCTGGGGGCACAGGGCTGAGCCATTGTGGGGCTCAGCCCCACTTCCCACCAAAGCTCCCAGCACCAAGAGCGGGGCTGGATGCGGGTGCCAGCAGGGGCTTGGCCATGGGATGGGAGCCTCGTCCATGCTGGAGCAAAGCACAGAGTGATCCTGCTGGGAATTAAGGAATCATGGAGAAAGGGAGAGGAAAATGAAGGTGCTGGGAGGTGGGACAGAGGTGCTGGCGCTTTGGTGCGCTGGTGGTGCTGGTGCTGCCCCTCGGGTGCCCCCTTGAGCCTGCTTCTAGGGACTGAGACCCCCCTGGGGTACGAATCTCTGCCCCCACAATGTCGCTCTCTGCTTTATTCCCACTTTCCAGAGCAATAACGTCCCCAGCGCGGCCGTGCCCCCTCCCGAGGATGGTAGGTCTGGGGTGGGGGTGAAGGTGGGTGCGAGGGGTGGGTGCGTGTCAGCTCCTCTCCAACCTGGGTCCAGCGCTGCCGGTCCAGGCAGGATGGGAGCTCTGGGCTTCCTTGGGGGCCAGACGTGACCGTGGCACGGTGAAGCCGGAGGCGCTGGGTGCTGCGGGGGTCCTGCCCGGTGTCCTGGTTGTCCATGGCAGGGATGGGTCCCCCCCGTCCCACCCCAGCAGGGTGCCCAGGGAGCTCCCTCGCTGCAGGCTCGGGGGACGCTGTGGTGCTGGCGCTCTATGACTACGAGGCGATGCATGCCGGGGACCTGAGCTTCCAGAAAGGGGAGCGGCTGAAGGTGCTGGAGCAGTAAGTGCTGCCAGGGCTCCCGAGGGTCTCGCGGCCCTGCTGGGGTGGGGTCTCCTTATGGAATTTGCCCTGGAGCTGCCAGCAGTGCCCAGTGCCATGGGATCACCCAGTGCCATGGGATCACCCAGTGCCGTGCCTGCCGCAGGTCAGGGGAGTGGTGGCGAGCGCGGTCGCTGGTGACGGGGCACGAAGGCTTCATCCCCAGCAACTACGTTGCCCGAGCTGACTCGCTGGAGACGGAGGAGTGAGTCCAGCCCTCGGTGGCACATCCCGGTGCCACGGTCCCCTGCTGTGGCTGCTCCCAGCCCTGCCCCACGCCAGCCTCAGCTCCCCAGCCCCATTCCCTGGTTCATTCCTTTCTGCAGGTGGTTTTTCAAGGGCATCAGCCGGAAGGATGCGGAGCGGCAGCTCCTTGGTCCCGGGAACGTGATCGGATCCTTCATGATACGGGACAGCGAGACAAGCAAAGGTCTGGAGGGTGCCCACGGCGCTGGCTCCGCTGGGTGATGGCACCGTGCGGGATGGGTGGCACAGGGATGCGATGCCCTCACCCTCCCCGGACAGGCTGCTACTCGCTGTCAGTGCGGGACGGGGACAGCGCGGTGAAGCATTACAAGATCCGGACACTGGACACTGGCGGCTTCTACGTGTCCGCACGCAGCAGCTTTGACACCCTGCAGGAGCTGGTCCAGTACTACAGAGGTGAGCCCTGGGGTGCCTGGATCCTGCATCCCAGATGGGGCTGTGCCCCTGGGTGGCTGTGGGGCAGCCAGGGGCACTCGGAGACCATGGGGCTCCTGCCCATCACCGCTGGGCTCCTGCTGTGGCTCCATCCAGGATGTGCAGTGAGCACTGGACCAGGGGGCTGGCTTTTGCTGGCTGTCACATCTGGGGGTGTTGTGTCCCTGAATGCCCAGTGCCCAGGACGCCCCAACCTGGGCTCTGACCACCAGCACAGGGCAGGGCAGAGCGGTGCTGTCGGGGCCAGGCTGCAGTGGCTGGTGTCCAATGTGTCCTCAGGGCTTGCAGCGTGGTGCGTGGCGCATGGTGCCAGGACATGGCCTGTGGCCAGGGAGGCTGCAGTGGGCTCCAAGTACGAAGCACCCCGTGAGAGGCACCAGCTGATGGCTGTGGCTGCTCCCCGCAGGGCAGAGCGATGGGCTGTGCCAGAAGCTCACCTACCCCTGCTGCGTGCCCAGACCCCAGAAACCCTGGGAGAAAGATGCCTGGGAGATCCCTCGGGAGTTGCTGAGGCTGGAGAGGAAGCTGGGAGCCGGGCAGTTCGGAGAAGTGTGGATGGGTGAGAGTGGGGGGGGCAGCCGGGAGGAAGGTGAGGGTGGTGAGGAGGGATGAAGGGTGAGGGATGGGAGAGGAGGTGGTGGGGTGGAGGAGGCAGGGAGGGGAGGACTTGCAGGAGGAGCACAGGGAAGAGGAGGTGGCCCTGGCCTTAATACAGGGACTACTTGAGGCTGGGGCCACGGGGACAGCTCTGGGCTCCAGAATCCAGCGCCTGGGCACTGGGAATGGTGTGTTGTGCGTCTCCCAGCTACCTACAACAAGCACACCAAGGTGGCGGTGAAGACGATGAAGCCGGGCAGCATGTCTGCGGATGCCTTCCTGGAGGAGGCCAGCCTGATGAAGACGCTGCAGCACGACAAGCTGGTGA